CCACTCCTGCGATATCTGGATCGCAAGACATCCAAGTACGCGGGTACTGGAAAACCGCAGTCTTATGTGGAGACTATCAGGCGAAGGACGAGGAGCAAGGTGGCAAGGTGGGCCTCTAGGTGCCAAGTATATGTGGATAGGAACACCGCCCTCCGACAACACCTGGCGGTCACACAGAAGCTATACCAAGCCTTGCAGCAGCAGAGGGAGGATGCGGCGACGAAAAGTCAGGCGGATGCCGAGCTTATGCGAGCAAAGATCGAGTCGGAATTGCAGGAAGAGCGGAGACAAAACCACGTCCTAGCAGCAGAGCTTGCGCGCCAGACGCGCGCCTTAGAAGAAAGTCAAAGAGCCCGCAAGGAGGATGAGGAGTTGTTGCGCAACTTGCAATCCGAGTGCTCGGATTTGAGGGCACAACGTGCGGAAGCGGAAATGCAGCTAGCAGAGGTGGAAAGCAGCTGCAGGGCGCGAGGAGAGTTGGCGACACGGGTGACTCGTTGTCTAAAAGGATACGCCCATTGGGAGGTGGCAGCTCAAGAGAGGGTCACACTCAGGGAGTTCGAGATTCGGGCGGCGGCATTGACGGAGGGTGACAGTCGGAGTCGGCGGCGAGTGGCGAGGAAATTAGAAACTTTCTTGTCAGGTGCGCGCGACACTATGGCGCACTTAGAGTCGGAAGTCACTGCAGCGCTCCGACGCCTGGGGTTGCGCAGCCGGTCGGAAGACTGGCAAGGTAGAGACAGCGAGCGGAGCAGTCCGGCGCGCAGGAGGCGCAGCACCGGATCCGCCGAGTGCAGTAGAATAGTTTGGTTTCGCGCAGATGCTGCGAGTAGTAGATAGGATAGTGTAGTGTTAGTTAGGACCTTTGAGGGTATAAAGTAGATCAAGGCGTTTTGCCTTGGGACTCTTCCAGTTTCGGAAGTGCAGATGAGGAACTCACTTTCTTGGCGTGTTTGTGCATTTTTGGTCCTGGCACCACGTAGAGAAGCTGCAGCATAGCGAAGTTACCGTATGTCGTAGTTGAAGGCCTTCGGCCGAATGTTCAGAGCTAGTACCCGGTTAGAGACTTGAGTAGTGCGGATCTGCACCTGCGGGTGATTTCTGATGCTCAGAGCCGGCTGCGAGTTAGATACTTGAACAGTTCCCCCTTACTCCTTCGAGTGACATATCCTGATTGTACTCCTACGGGAAGTTTTCCCTGAATGCCAATGTGAAGTTTTATTACTTCGTGTAAACCTTGGTTTGTAATTCAGGTTGTGTGTGTGTTACTGGATCGTGTCTCAGTTAAGTTCTCAGTCGGGTCTGCACTCCCTGCGTTTGGTGTGATAGTCGAGGGTGACGTCCACGGCGTATGAAGAGGCTTCGTTCCGAAGTGGGAAGTCCAGTCCGGGTACCCTACGCTAGTTCCTGGCGGAAGGGCAGTAAAAGCCGGAGTGGGAGGCACTACCTGCAGAGCCTCTGAGTGAACTTTTGAGACACTTTCCTCCTGAAATCCGAAGCGGAGGTCCTGACCGACCTCCGAGTTGTGCTTTTTGCTAGTTTCAGGTGTGTGTGTGTGTGTGTTGAGTGACTACGCTGTACCGTGCATCCTCCGAGTCGAGATCCTCCTCCGAGTCGAGCCTCCGAGTCGAGCACTACAGTATTTCTGGGAGTGACAGTCGCCTAGAATTCAAACTCTACAAAAGTCTGTGAAAACGTGACACTTTTACTCTATGTGTTGCCTCTGTCCCTGTGGGTTCGATCTTTTTACCACCATATTGCAGTTTTAGCCTTTGGTGGGTTATTACATGGAACCTGGGGTTCATGCCTTGACTTTCTTAAATCAACTGGTGCATACACGTTCACACTCGCAAGCGTAGCAGTCTCATGGTGTTGCAAGAAACTGAAACTGAAACAAGATTTTGTTTCAGTTTCATCAACTGAGAGCGAATACACAGCCCTATCCCTTTGGAGCACACCAAGCCATCTGATTGTGACAACCTATGCACGAAGTCAACCCGACAATGATGACCCCAATAAAACTATCTTGCAAAGACGGTAAGGTAACTTCTGCACTTCAAATTCCTGGCTCAATAAGCGAGTCAACAACCGTTCTCTGTGACAATCAAAGCGTGATTGAACTTGGTTAAAATTCCTGTCTTCCATGCAAGGAGTAAACACATAGGGAACCAACATCATTTTATTCGAGGGCGGATGACTCTTGGAGAAATTACAGTTCAATCCCTCTCTACCAAATTACACCCGGCGGACATGCTGACCAAATCACTTCCTAGATTGAAATTTAACCAGCATAGATACTACCTTGGCCTTGAAGTCTATTCATATTCTGGAATAAGTCTTTTGCACTCCAGGAATGGTATTCTTACAGAGATTATGTCTAGGGGTAGGTTTAAGTTTTAAGGTTTAGAGTTTAGGACCTTTGCTCCTTTATATATGTTTATATATAGTCACACCTTGCAGTACACAGAAACTGATTATCATCAGTGGTTTCTAGCACTTCGTTCCAAGTTGCAGCAGTTTTAAACGAAGATGTTCCGAATCTTCCATATGGTTGTTGAAAGTCTTCATCGAGGAAGCTCAAAAACGTCGTGCGTCTCCAACTGGAGCTTTGGAAAATAAACGGATGAATAAATAGTGAATGTAGCTACTCTTTAAGACTGACAAGAATTATGTCAGACTTAACGTCCTCCTAGCTGATGCTACTCCGACTGATCTAAAGCTGGTTGAAACTTTAGAGTGGCCAACTAGTTTACGAATTGACATGTCCTGCAAATATGCCCCTTGGTGCCAGTGAGCACCGGAGATTTCCCATCTTCACCATGCTAGCTGCGAATCCTGCGAAGAAGGTGGATCCAGGTTCGAGAACGTGGTGACAACTTTCTTGCCTACAGGATTGGGATTGAGCACCGAATCAGTGATGAAAATTCCCTTGCCTTGCAGAACATTTTGTGCTAGGCACTGTCGAAGATGTTGGCTCTGGAGTCGACGAAGGTTGTGTTGGTAGTGATACCCATAGGATAGTGCTTCTTGAGGAACACAGCAAAGATTTTATCCATGTCAGGGTCGGTGTCGCCGGCATCATCCCCTCTAGTGAAGTTATACAGATGTGGGGATATTTTCGTTGCATTGCATATTGTCAGTCCACAACTGTGGAGCCAAAGAAGCCATTGCACTTGCTAGTTCGGAGTTACATTAGAGTGAGAGTCATAATATACTAGTAGCTAAAAAGAGTCAGAGATCGAAACGTCGTTTAGGCTGAAAGTGAAAGCTAAGGGTTGATGGGCACCATGTAATTCACGGATGCAGTGAAAAAATGTAGAAATGAACAACGAAAAAGAAACATCTTGTTAAAATCGGGAGAATAAAAATTAAATAATATAATCATGAATATAGCGAACAAAATTCAGAACGCGGATGGTGGCAGCTTATGGAATTTGTAATCATCTCTCTTACATTGAAGCCCTTTGGCGGTAGATTTAGCAACAAACCCGCTGAAATTGAGCACAGGGAATGGTAGATTGTTATCTGCCATCAAGGCTATGGAGTGCACAGATCCAGATAAGGCAAGTACAGCCGAAGCAAATCTATTGTGGACAATCACACACAAAACCAGTGGTTTCGAGGATCCCAGTATGAAACGTGCCTTCAGACTGCAGAGAGTGTCGCACATGTGTCACTTCGAGCGTACAAGTATCGTTGATAAAGTTCTGCCCCTGCAGTCTTCTCAATCAAAAGATGGTGCGCTTCAAGGACAGTGCAATTCCTCGCAATATCGGTGGCCGTAGGTCTAGTGCAGGCTCAGCCGGAGCCGCAGGTCTTCTGCCATTCAGAATCGGAAAGCCCCAATGCTCCCCATGCCATTCTCGATGGTCGGATCAGTCGAGCGGAGCCATGCTGCCAGACCAACTGCACTAGCTCTTACACATTGCTGATGACATCAGGCGAGAACACTGTTCTCACCATCTTCGTACTCAAGGGCTTCTGCGTCGACTGCAACGAATGGGGCAATTGATTTTAGACCTATAAATTTATATGCGCCGATACAGCAACTTTTGAGTGCCCTGTCAAAGGTGGTCCTGGACTTTTCCTGACTACTGAACATGACCAACCCTTGTAAGCAAGTACGGACCTTCCAGAAGCTTTCATTTTATAACAGAGGTTGATTGTCTATACATATTTCTGCATCCTTGTCAGTGACGAATCATGATGCGGCGCTAGTAATACGGCAGAAGACTTGCGGTCATAAAGTTGATAGAGTGAAAGCAATCGCTCTCTCCAAAGGGTTTACACGTTTGGTGGTAGAAACTATTGTGATCACACGTTTTAGATGGAAGCAAACAGGCAGCTCCAGAACAATCTCCAGTGCATGGCACTTGTGGTCTCACTCCTTTTCCTTTGCTTACTGTGAAGACGAAGTGAGCAGAATATTTGGCAGGGTAGTGCATAATTCGAGGTAGAAGCAATTGCTCATTACCCCTTGTGAATCTGATTCAGAAGATTAGTTTAGATGGAACCGGCTTTCTTGATCATTCATGAATTCTTGCTACGAATTCTAACATCTGTCTTTGTACAGCGAAATAAATTGATCCATCTCACTCCATCTCGTTCCACTGAAATCCTCGATACTAAGAAAATCAGGTTCATGATCCTGCAGTACGTATCGGCTGCAGGAAATCAAAACAGAATTACAGTGTCTTATAATGGCAGAGGACGTGTCACATAATCATTGGAGTCTTGATTTTTTCAAGACCCTCAGTTTTGATTTGTTGTTCTGTGTTTCTTGGCCTATTCAAAAGCCATTTCTTTTTCTGTTCCCCTTGTCATATTCATGTGTTAACACAGAGCAGCTAGAACTTCGGACTCATTCATTCATTTCCTTTCAAAAATTGATTCTCAGTATATAACTTTGTTTAGGACCTTGGTAATCGTTTTATCCAACCATACAGCTTACCTACAGCCTGTCATCACCTATACCTCGGCCGCACATTTTTGTAGTTGTAGTTCTTGGTCATAAACACGTGTGTCTCACCCAGATCAGAACCAGCTGTATAGCTGTATAAAGATAGATTTATTTTTATTGCCATCGATACATGCGACCGGCTAGTTCTTCAAAACACTACCCTCTGACTCGCACCTGCATTTCACAGCAGGATATATTTACATCATTCCTAGACAATTTGACACCCTAGCCTCATCCCACGAATCTTAAACAAAGCGATTGGTACAACATTACAAGCATAGCAATGGCCCTCGACCATGATAGCTTCTCCCTGGATGACAAGGAAAGTCGTTATTGGGTTCACATTCTGTGCTTGCTGGAGGGGTGTGCGCCTTGTATAGTAGTCCTGTGTCACCCAAATCGTGGTGTGTCCACGTTGAAATCGGTCAGCGGAATGGCCGATTTCACGGCTGCTTCATACGCCTGTTCTTCTAGTGAATCAATGTGTGAACTAAACTTTAGAAGTGGACAAAACTTTAGAACGGCTGCTTCATACGCTGCTTCATACGCCTGTTCTTTTAGTGAATCCATGTCTGAAGTAAACTTTAGAAGGGCTGCTTCATAGTCCTGTCCTGTATGAATGTCTGACAAAAACTTGAGAACGAGTTCTCCGGAATTGTAGGAAGGGAGTTTGTCAGGAGAAGGGTCCATGAACGGCTCGCGGGGAAGAAATGCCTTCAACAAGTTTTCATGATCTGTCCCATCAAATTGGGGAGAAATTGCCTTCAAAACGTTTTCATTATCTGTCCCATCAAATTGGGGATAAAATGCCTTCAAAACGTTTTCATCATCTGTCCCATCAAATTTGGGCATGGAGTAGGGTCTAGGCTTTCTTTGACTCTTCAGGATAGAATCCAGCCAATTTTCGACGCATTGATATCCAACGTCTCCTGTTGACTGATGTTTGCAGACTCCGAAATGGTCACCAACTCCAAATCGGAATTGTTCGCAATCGAATCTGGCCGTTGCCTCTGTAACAAAGGTTCCTGATCTTTGCGAGCGGCCACGCTGCATCGCAATAGAGCGATTATGTAGATTTAGTCACTACTTACGACGAGACGGCTTAGCACACTCTTGAATCATACTACAGTACGCAGTGACATGAGCAGCAGAACTCAAGAAGGAATTAAAAATTTCGACACAACAAGCACATTGCAATCATCCCCAGCTTTATAGTCTCTCCATCATGTCCACATGTCAATCTGCTGTTCATGCTCTCACCAAAAATTATGGACCAATATAGAAGCTGAACTGTCAGTTCCTCTCAGAAGACCATCATGAACTGAAAAAGTTGGAAAGAAACTGCAATCCTCTGCAAACCGATAAATCTTATGCGAATCAGAATCTCAACTACCACTTTCAACGGTGCTCGCTAGAGAGACTCACGCTGCTTGATGCTGTTTCATGTGACTCGCAGATTGTCAAGACCGTCCACAAGTTCCTTGAGTTCCGCCTCTCCTGCATACGGCGTCGAAGGCTTGCGAAAGCTTCATTGAGTCGACTGAGTTCTGCGCTGTGTGGTCTTAAGCAGTCCGTCAGTGTATTACTTTGACCAGACTCATTGGCATACAGGTCCCATTTGACTCCGGAGTTGAAAGGAGAATAGAACACAAAGCCACCTACGTTTTCCAAAAATTTCCTCCTTTTCTCTTCGTTCTCCGCAAATTGTTCACTCGCTTTGAGCATGAGATTCTTAATGACGAAGCATCCCAGACCATGTCCGACGAACAAAACTGGGCAGTTGGATGTCAACCCAACCTTGCTTCTTGGAAGGAAAAAGTTGACCATTAGATTTTCTGCAATGGTGAACAAGGAATTCATTCGGCCCTGGGTACTATTCGTAATCACACAAGCATCATAAGACACCGATAATATACGAGCTCTTGGGAACTTTTTTCCCAAGAATTCTCTCGGCCAGCATGTGCCATCGTCGTTGGTCCATGTGGTTTTCCAGGCATCTTCAGAGCCTTCAGTATATAGGTCGTGCACAAATATTATCTCCATGTCGTAAGGTCCATACGATGGTTCATACAGCACAAACAGTTCGTCATTGATGCGATTGGCGAACATAGGTGCCGTCTCAGTTGCAAGTGCGTCGGAAACCTTTTCTTCTGGAACCTATGCCTTCGACAAACGTCAAGATTAAACTCAGTATCATAGCACATTTAAGAAACATGACGAACAAAATTAAATATTCATTGTGGCTCTAGAATCGACCGAGCATGAAGAGCCTCGGTCCACTACGACGCTTGTGGCGCAAAATGTGAAAACCGGCCGCAACTGGAATCTGTCTTCAGATGTAAGATCTTGTGGAAAGTTCGTTACAGTTCATATGACAGCAGATGCGTGGAGAAGGATGAAGAATTCACCTCATTTAAACCGTCAGTCTTCAAACTCCCATCTGAACTCCTGACGCCTGTAATCACGTTCATGTAACCGCTGTTCTGTACCATCGAGATGTCGCCGAGAATGAGTCTATGGTGTCTGCGATCCTTCTGCTCTCTGATTCCATTGCACTGCTTCTGGTATTATCTTCCAGACTTAATAGTGGTCGCTCCTCTCATGAGCAGTACATCGTCCCTTTTCAGCATGGGGCTGACATTGTCGTCGATACTAAATGCACGTACAGTGAGCTTGACATTGTCCACTTGTACATCCATAGAGAACGAAACGAAAGGCGCATCAGAGAAGCCCTGACCGTCGTCTTCTGATGACGCCTTCTGAGCGGCTGCTTCTCCCCCGATAGAATAATTCTGGCCAGATTCATGTACCGAAAGTCATCAATCTATTGATTGAACGTCCAGATGTAGACAATCCAAAAATCCATGACGTAGGAAGTCAACAATCTACTCTTGAAATAGCCCTCTGGAAATACTACAATTTTGCAGTAAAACTAATTTGACATGCAACCTTGGGCCGGAAAGTACAACGCTGGAACAGAAAACTGTCCAGAGCAACATCTCAATGAATCTTCGAATACAAGATGACTATCGTGGTTGGTTCACGTGTCAAACCTGCCACGTGTACCAACCGAGATGGTCATCTTGTATATATATATGGTTGCTCTAGGCAGTTTTCTGTTCCAGTCTAGATCAACATCTCAATGAACCTTCGAATATATACAAGATATCGCCTTTCAAGAAAATTGATCATTTTTTCTCTCTCTCCCGAACACTTTCCAACAAGAGTTTAGTAAAATTTGTAAATAATACCTGATACTATCAATTGAACTGCATAAAAAGTGGTACGGAGGTTTCTCTCTGCACCACTTTTTACCTCCGAACACTGTCAACTCTTCTTATTAGTGAAATAGAACTCAAGAGCCATCAGGTTTTAAATGTAGATTTATTCAATAACCACATTATATTATTTAATAGTGAGTGTTCCAACTGTAATTTGGAAAAAAAAATTGAGTTTGAAACTTTATTGTTGTTACTCTAGCCCAATTCCCAACTTTTAACTTCGCCTCCTGCTGTACAGTATCATAGCGGAACTGCACCATGTACCATGCGTTAGGCTCCCCTCGCTGCACTAGTACTTCCTTGCACTTGCTCCTGCGTTTGCACTCCCCCTTGTGATTAGAGGAAAAATATAATTGCTGGTTCTGTAAACTTGATTTATTAAAACATATTTATAATCATGCATTTTCGTTTTTTTATATCAACCATTTTACAGGTGTAAAAAAAACTCAAATTATTCTACGAATTTCCTCCACTCCGTTTATTCACTCTTCACTATTTATGACTTTGATTTACCTTAGCTCTATTTACTCATTGTCTTTAATTTATAACTCTGTTTTACTTTGACGACCTATGTTTACTGAAGACAATCCCATATTTAAATTCAAAGACAAGATGTCAAGAATTATACTATCCGCCAAATTATCTGTTATATATTTAGTGGATCCGGGAAACATGTAATAAGAATATTTCTATATGATCTGCTAAATACTACCCAAGCTTGTTTGAGTGACACTTCCCAATAGAGACGTGAAAACTTAGCACCAATATGTATCATTATTGGGAGTAAAAACTGTGTAGTGACATTAGCTAAACATGAAAGTTTTATTTAACAAGAAGCAATGAACTAAACAAAAAATCATCTTGAGGTTCATCACCATGAATATCATCTTAAGAAAAAAGTCAAATAAGGTATTTTTCAAAATGCATTATTTTTCCCCATCACATTGAAATTTGAAACATCGTGTTTGAGTTGATTTTTGAATGATACAGAATCTAAATAATTTTCTTGGGATTTAATAGTTGTTCAAATTTTCGCAAACTTGAACTCGAAGCGAGCTCTCCGTCCAATCAAAGTTGTTATGTTGTTGGGATCTGTTCAGGTCATAACAGCTTTCAGGCATAAATCTCCAAGAGATGGAACAGGTAAGAGCCGGTGAAACATTTGAGCACGCAATCTTCATATTATGCTCAGTAATTATCTAGATGCCAGTAGCTTTTTGAGAATTCGAATCTAGAAAACGTCATCCTACTGGATACCCTTCTAGATTTTCAGGTTCCGTATGGCATTCAGAGGTTGAAAGAAACTTCGTAGGTGCTTCATTCATCTTCTCATCGTTTGACGCGTGAGCTGGAATCGGGACTAAATCGACGATTAAAATTCAACTCGAGTCCTAAATATATTTGCCCTCAGGAGTCGCGGGGACGCATTTCCACGTGAAGCCGAAACTGCTTCGGCTTTAACAGATTCCAGAAGAAGATGAAACTCACGTTTCCTTGTTAAAGCCGAAACTCAAGTTAAAATTATGAATTACTTGCTACGTTAGCATCATTTTCTTTCCCTATGTTCTCCTCATAGGACTCATGGACATGTTGAAACAAGCCAACGAGATGGAACCAACTCAGAAGCTAGATGGCATCGATATGAATACTTTTTGGTGTGCACGAATGCGGCTATTCTACACAAGAATAAGTGCTAGGCTGTTGTCAACAAGCGCACTACTCGTCAACGCTGTTACCAGATTTAGATGTTACCAAGCGATGAACAAGTCAAGCACGGCAGCGACTGCCAAGCAAGAACGAGAGACGGCGAAGGAAGAGATCTAAGAGAAAGTCGACAGTGTTCTCGAACTTCGGGACGACGCCACGTAGTTCGATCGCCATCTTCTATATCATGATGAACGTTAGCGAGCACATTGTTCACCATATATTTGTGGTGTCTGATCGATACTGAATGTGGAAAGAATTGGAACTGTGCCCCGTCGAAGGTGGACCTGGACTTTTCCTGACTACTGTAAACGACCGACCCTTGTAAGCATGTACTGACCTTCCGGAAGCTTTCATATAAGAACAGAGGTGGATTTTCCACAAATGTTTATGCATCCTTGTCAGTGACGAATGATGTTGCGGCACTAGTTTTATGGCAAACGACTTACAGTCATAAAATTGAAAGCAAGTGAAGAGTGTAAAAAATTGCTCTCTTTCTAAAGGGTTTAGACGTTTGGTGGTACAAACTATTGTGATCGCACGTTTTCGATGGAAGCAAACAGGCAGCTTCAGAAAAATCTCAAGTGCATGGCACTATCTTGTGGTCTCACTCCTTTCCTTTTCGTTACTTTGAAGACGAAGTGAGCAGAATATTTAGCAGGGTAGTGTATGGTTCGAAGTACAAGCAATTGGTCATGACTCCTTGTCAGTCTGATGGAGAAGATTGGTCTATATGGAACCGGCTTTCATGATCATTCATCAAATCTTCCTACAATCTAACATTTGTCTTTGTGCAGCGAAATAAACTGATCGATCTCACTCCATTTCGCTGGACTGAAATCCTCGGTACTGGAAATATCGCGTTCATGATCCTTCACTAAGTATAGGCTTCCAGGAAATTAAGACAGAGACAGCTTCTTATAATGGCTGAGGACGCGTCATATAATCAACGGTGACTTGATTGTTTGAAGACCCTTAGTTTTTAATTGTTGCTTTTTCTTTTCCTGGCCTGTTCAAAAGCCATGTCTTCTTCTGTTCCCCTTGGAATGTTCAGTAGAATTTCGGACTCATTCGTTCATTTCCTTTCAAAACTTCTATTCATGGGATATAAAACGTATGGAACTTTTTGAGTTTTTATCTTTCTTTGAGACATTAGTAATCTTTTTACCCAACCACACAGCTTACCTACAGACTGTCATCACCTATACCTTGGCCGCACAATTTGTAGTTCTTGGTCATCAACACGTATTTTTCGCCCCGATCAGAACCAGCTATCAGTATACCAGAACGTAGACCTTGCGAATTTCTATTTCATTGGCATTGAAACATGCGACAAGCCAGTTCTACAAAACACTACACTCTGATTCGCACGTGCAATTCACAGCAGGCCATATATACATCATTCCTAGACAATTGGACTCCCTAGCTTCATCCCACAAATAAAAAACAACACGATTTGGTACAACTTTACAAGCATAACTGCAATTGCCCTCGACCTTCATAGCTTCTTCTTGGATGCAGCGAAAGTCGTTCTTGGGTTCACATTCTCTGCTTGCCAGAGGGATGTGCTCCTTGTATAGCAGTCCTGTGTGACCCAAATCAAGGTGTGTCCACGTTGAAACTGGTCAGCAGAAGTCGAGGACATTTTTCATTTATCTGTTCATCACTGGGACTCGTGACTAATTACAATATCTCAGCTGCAAAAAAAACCCAACATGGATAACAGATTTCCAGACGAGGAAACTTAAAACACTTACCTCTAGTTCCAGGGTCAAAATGGGCAAGAAAAGCTGCGTTCTCCCTTAATTGGTGTTCCAGGGATCCCTCGACACCATATCCTTGTGGGTCATATCTCATCCCAGTCCTCATGAACAACTGTGAAATTGTAGGTATTGTAGGTATTGTAGGAATTGTGAGAATTGTAGGATCCGTAAGTGTAGGAACGGTGTCTGCCAGGAGAATGGTCCATGAACGGATCCCGGGTAGGAAATGCCCTGAAATAAGTTTCATCATTTGTCCGATCAAATTTGGGCATGTAGTTGGGACTAGACTTTGTAGAACTCTTCAGGATAGAATCCAGCCAATTTTCGAAGCATTGATATCCAACGTCTCCTGTTGACTGGTGTTTACAGACATCAAAATGGTCACCAACTCCAAACAGGAACACATCGCAGCCGGATCTGGCCGTTGCCTCTGTAACAAACATTCCTGATCTTTGCGAGCGGCCACGCTGCATCGCAATAGAGCGAGTATGAAGAATTAGTCACTACATACGAGGAGACGGCTTAGCAGATTCTTGGATCATCATAAACTGAAGAAGAGTTGAAAAGAAGATGCAAAACTCTGCAACTCAAACAATCTCATGCAGATCAAAATCTCATCTACCACTTCCAATTGTGATCGCTAGAAAGACTCACCGTTCTCGATGCTGTTTCATGCGACTCGCAGATGGTCAAAACCGACCACAACTTCCTCGACTTCTGCCTCTCCTGCATACGGTGTTTAAGGCTTGCGAAAGCTTCATGGAGTATACGAAGCTCTGCACTGGTTGTTGTTATGAAGTCCTTCATTGAATTCCTTTGACCAGACTCATAT